GGCAGGGAAAACTGGGTTCGAATCCTAAGTCCAAAGGTCCAGAGATGAGACTTAGGTTGGGGTCACAGGGCCGAGAGGTAGGAGCTGGAAAGAGGCCAGATGGGGGGGAGTAGGCCAAGAAGCAGGGGAGGTCCCGAGCAAGGGCTCGAACTCTGGGGCGTGCTGTGATTCATCTGTGAGGCAGGCGGCAGGCGGTGCCAGGCGCTGGGGAAAGGCCAGAGGCGGCCTGAGCTGGAATGGCAACACTGGTCATAGGCCCTGGGGGAGAGCAAGGGTGGGGCCTGGGGTCCCTTCCAGGCTTGGGCAGCTGGGTGGCTGGTGACTCTACTGAAACCAAGAACAATGGAAAAGGAGCAGGTTTGGGAGAACAGATGAATTCAAATTTGGGAATATTGTATGCTTGCTTGATACGTTTAGATTAAAACATTGACCTTTAAAGCCACTGTGAGCGCTGAGACGGGAGATTCACAAGACACTTGGGGGCAGTGGAGGTCCAGAAGGAAACCTGGGCTAGAACAGACCTTTAGGAGTCACCAGCACAGCAGGGGATGAGAGCAGCCAGGACAAGTGTGCAGATGAGGAGAGAATTAAACTGCCTGCAGCAAACGAAGTCTGGGAAAGTAGCCTGAGAAAGATCAGCCAGGGAGGCAAGAGGAAAACAGAGTGTTTTCGCAAAAATCAACAAAGAACACCAAAGGCCAGTCAATAGGGTGGAATGCCCCCGAGAAGAAAGGCGGAATGAAGATGGAAAAGCCCTTTGGTTTGGTTATGAGACGGTCCACTGAGGCCGCCTGAGTGAGGTCCCTTCCAGGCTTGGGCAGCTGGGTGGCTGGTGACTCTACTGAAACCAAGAACAATGGAAAAGGAGCAGGTTTGGGAGAACAGATGAATTCAAATTTGGGAATATTCGATGCTTGCTTGATACGTTTAGATTGAAACATTGACCTTTAAAGCCCCTGTGAGCATTGAGACGGGGAGATTCACGAGACACTTGGGGGCAGTGGAGGTCCAGAAGGAAACCCGGGCTAGAACAGACCTTTAGGAGGGGATGAGAGTAGCCAGGACAAGTGTGCAGATGAGGAGAGAATTAAACTGCCTGCAGCAAACGAAGTCTCGGAAAGTAGCCTGAGAAAGATCAGCCAGGGAGGCAAGAGGAAAACAGAGTGTTTTCGCAAAAATCAACAAAGAACACCAAAGGCCAGTCAATAGGGTGGAATGCCCCCGAGAAGAAAGGCGGAATGAAGATGGAAAAGCCCTTTGGTTTGGTTATGAGACGGTCCACTGAGGCCGCCTGAGTGAGAGCAGATGCAGCTGACAGACGTGAGCTGAGCGGTGCCTTCCTTACCCACCGTGTGTGACACACCCCTCACCTTAGGCTCAAGCAGCAATGCCCACGCATAGCTCCCACGGGCTAGTGTTTGGGGGGCACCACTGGGTTAGTGTTTGGGGGGACACCGCTGGGACCTCTTGTCTCCACTCCACAGTGTTGGGAGCTGAGCGGACGTGACTCGGTGACTGGGAGCTGGACACTGGCTGGGTCCTGGCAGGCCAGCCTCTGGAGCGGAAGAGAGAGCCCTGCCATTGGAGGGGCCCAGACACGAGCACAGATAAAGATTACGAAGTGACAGGGATTTGCTCTGCCTGCTCGGGTTGTGGATTTGCTAAAACAAGACAGAAACTTATCATATTCTACAACTTGAACAAGTCAGATAAAATCCGTACAATTTCCTGTTCTTTAACAGACTCAGTTACTGACCGCACAGTGTGGCTCCCACTTGTACCCTTTTCCAGGTTTTGTAAACTTTAAGTAAGTTACTTCCTTGAAGATATTCTATTTCTCTTTTTCAGCTTCATTTCTTTGAATTCTACATTCATAGTTTCTGTTTCTTTTTTAAAAAATATATTTTTATTGATTTCAGAGAGGAAGAGGGAGGGAGAGATAGAAACATCAATGATGAGAGAGAACCATTGATCAGCTGCCTCCTTCTGGGGATCGAGCCTGCAACCTGGGCGTGTGCCCTTGACCGTAATCAATCCCAAGACCCTTCAGTCTGCAGGCCGACGCTCTACCCACTGAGCGGAACTGGCTAGGGCCATAGTTTCTGTTTCTATCCTGATCTCCATGTGTACGCATTCTCAACAATCAAGGATTAAAAAATAAAATATAATTGTAGCCAAAGTTTATAAAATTTAAACGTATTTCCACCAAAATATGTACATGTAAATGTAAAAACACAAAATTATTTAAATATGTTTACCAAGGTTGTTTTTCTCTGAAATATTCAAAGCTATCTGTTGAAAAATGCAAAATACAAATTATAATAGATAAATATTTATGTTTAAAATCAAATGAAGTTAATAAAGCTGGGTATTTTGTTAACCTTAAAAGAAGTTTTACAAAATAGCTTTATGGAACAAAACTATTCATAATCTAACATTCAATGTCCATCCACTCGCCAGTATAGAACAATCAACATCATACTTCACAAAATGGATGTCTAGACCTGCATGCATACAAATTGAACAGTAGTTAGAATGATTTAATATTACAAAATAGCTGTCATGTGCAACGCTGTGGCTGTAGCACAACATAGAGTGATACCCCTAGAACACAAAGAAAAACAAGAAAAATGGACGCTCAACACTATGGGAAATGGTGCTTTATCATGCTATCTGAGACAAAAGGCATTAGTTGCGTTGCATTTCCTCTTACTTAAGTGCTTCCCTGCTTAAACCTCCACACTCTCCAAAGCAGCGTGTGCCTCGGAACCTGCAGACACGGGGCCCCGCTTTCCCAGGACCTGGCTGCGGCCTTCCTGTTTCCAGGATACGGCAAGAGGTTGCAGAAGAATTTCTCTGAGGCCGGAGCAGTGGTAATGGCCAGAGCAGATGCTTGGGTTTCAGGTTGTGTTGTGCAGCGGGTCCCAAGTGACAGGGGTGCCCAGGTGTCCTTTAAGAAAGGTGGCCTGTGCTAGGTGAGGCCCCCTCCAGGCTGTGGCAGGGCAAGGCCCTGTGGGCCAGGTCGGAGGATGATACTGTTTGTGGGGGAAGATCATGATTCAGTTTCCAATAGGCCTAGTTTAGTTTGTGGTACATTTGAGACATTCAAGTAGGGATGCCAGCTAGGCAGTCAGTACACAGGCTGAGGGATCAGAGGAAAGACATACATTTCAGAGACCGGCTGGTAGCCCTGAAGCCGTGGGTGAGGTGTAATCCCCCAGGGTCAGGGAGGCAGGAGAAGGAGGAGAGGAATTCCCGTTCGTTCGGCTGGACAGAGCAGGAGGAGCCAGCAGAGGAGCAAGGAGCAGCCGGAGGGAGCCAGCGGAAGAAAACCAGGAAGTGCTCAGTCCTGGCAGCGAGGAAAAGAGTTGGTCAACAACGTGAAAAACTGGTGGGAGTTCAAGGAGGGGAAACCTAAAGAAGATGGATTTAATGACAGGAAGGTCGTTGCAAAAGCATGGAGCCCGGCTGGCGTGGCTCAGTGGCTGAGCATCAACCTATGAGACTTAGGTTGACAGTTGAGGTGGGATTCCCGGTCAGGGCACATGCCCGGGTTTTGGGCTCGAACCCCGTAGGGAACATGCAGGAGGCAGCCAATCAATGATTCTCTCTCATCATTGATGTTTCTGTCTCTCTCTCTCTCTCCCTCTCCCTTCCTCTCTGAAATCAATAAAAATATATATTAAACACACACACACACATACACAGGAGAGGCGAGAGGCGGACACCAGCCTAAAGGAGTTGAGGAGAAGGAGTTGAGGAGTGAGTGAAAGTAAGGGAATAGAGAATTTTTCCCCAACTTTTTTTCTTTTTCCATTGATTTAGCTTTTTTTTTTTTTTTTTTCAAAATGTCTTTTGTTGACAGGATTCTATCTTGGACATTAAGGCACCAGTGTTTAAAGGACTGGAGAGATGCCTGAAATCCAATCCTACATGGAGAGTTCTCACTGCCCTTCCACAAGATTCTTGGCCTGTGACTGCACCCGAGCCGCTCAGCAATGCCCTGGGCAATGGTTGGGGCTGGGGCAGCCTCCGGCCGCTGTTTTCCTGTCCACGGAGGGTGAGCGGAGGCACACTGGCTGCATGGCAGTGGAGAAATGGCGAGTTGGTGGAAACACACAATGGCTCTCAAAGATTCTGTTCCAAAATGACACATCTCTTCCACTCGGATCTCATTGGCCAAAGCCCTTCACGGGCAGGAAGCATACTCTTCCAGCAGCGTTGGATCCCCAGCGGCGCTCACGCTAAAGCAGGCTCCAACTTTTCTCCTGGGCCTCCTAGGACAGCTTCCCCGGGTCTGAGCTCAATTCTCCATCTCCCTGCATCCAATCTTCCCAACTTTTTATTATAAAAAGTTTCAAAAGCACAGAAAAGTTGAAACTATAGTCCAATTATCATTTGTATATCCACCACTTTGCTTAGATTTAACAATGATTATTTATATATACACTAGAGGCCCAGTGCACAAATTCATGCACCAGTGGGGTCCCTCGGCCTGGCCTGCAGATCAGACTGAAACCGGCTCTCTGACATCCCCCAAGGGGTCCCATATTGCGAGAGGGCACAGGCCAGGCTGAGGGACCCCACCAGTGCACAATCGAGGCCGGGGAGGGACTCGGGAAGTTGGCCAGCCCAGGAGGGACCGAGGGAGGGCTCCAGGGTGTGTCTAGCCCATCTCACTCAGTCCCGGGCCGGACTCCAGCAGCAAGCTAACCTACCGGTTGGAGCGTCTGCCCCCTGGTGGTCAGTGCACGTCATAGCGAGTGGTTGAGTGGTCTTAGCATATCATTAGCATATTACACTTTGATTGGTTGAATGGCTGACTGGACGACCAGGCACTTAGCATATTAGGCTTTTATTATATAGGAAACAAATAGTTACATATTTATGCAAAGCTCTTTTTTAAAAAAATATTTTTAATTGATTTTAGAGAGAGAGGAAGAGAGAAGGAGAGAGAAACATTGATCTATTTCCTGCACGTCCCCTACTGGGGATTGAGCCAGCCACTGGGGGGTGAGGGGGTGCCCTGACTGGGAATCTAACCAGCGACCTCTCAGTGCATGGGAGGATACCATGGGCCAGGGCTAGAGTTCTTGAACTAGGTGGAAATTTGGAAATTGTGCTGCTTCACATTTTAATGTTTCAACATGCATCTCCTAAAAGTAAGGGCTTCCTCCTACGTGACCACAGGAAAATAACTAGTCCCGAATATTATCCACATGCAGAACATACTCTAATTCTTCCCTATTGACCCCCAAATGTGTTATATGTCTTTTCAAAGGACCCCAACCCAGGTTCATGTATGTGTATGTGAGAGAGAGGCTGGATGAGGCGCCTGACAGCTACAGGGAGCAGTCAGAGGGAGAAATGAGGTGGAGGAAGGGAGGTTTGGGGTTTGGTTTTGTTTTGAAAAAGAGCAGTTACAGATTCAGGAGGGAAAATGAGTAATTGAGGAAATGGGGTGCAGAACACAGCTAGAGGGACCAGCCTTGGGCAGGAGGAGGGCAGCTCCTCTATTCCAGGGTTTCTCCAAGTGGGACCCCAGGCCAGCAGCATCTCACCTCTCCCCACCTCAGCCTACTGAATCACAAGCATGGGTGTTTGTTTGTTTATTGATGTCAGACAGGAAGAGAAAGGGATAGAGAGAAACATCAATGAGAGAGAATCATTGATCGGCTGCCTCCTGCAAGCCCCCTACTGGGGATCGAGCTCACAGCCCAGGCATGTGCCCTTGACCTGAATGGAACCTGGGACCCTTCAGTCTGCAGGCCGATGCTCTATCCACTGAGCCAAGCTCAGCCTACTGAATCACAAGCATGGTGTTTGTTTGTTGATGTCAGACAGGAAGAGAAAGGGATAGAAACATCAATGAGAGAGAATCATTGATCGGCTGCCTCCTGCAAGCCCCCTACTGGGGATCGAGCTCACAGCCCAGGCATGTGCCCTTGACCTGAATGGAACCTGGGACCCTTCAGTCTGCAGGCCGATGCTCTATCCACTGAGCCAAACCAGCCACGGCTCACAAGCACGTTTTACACGCCCTCCAGGCGGCTCTGAGGCACACAGAGTTGAACAATCGCTCTACCCTACCCTGAGAGCAAGGACTGGGGGCACAGGTGGATTCGGTAACAAGTGGGGAAGGGAGTTCACCTCTGATGGCCTCAGTTTTCTCTGTGACATAAGGGGAGACCATCACCTGAGTGTGAGGTGAGAGACAGCAAGGACCACACAGGTCCCAGGGTCAGGGAGTTTAAAGTAGCCAATGACCACGTGATGTGGTTGGGTCACTAAGCAATGCAGGTTGGTGACCCTGAATGAAGAGCGGTCCTGCTTGTGTGACTTCCTCCAACACTTGTCGGCTCTCAGAGTGAAATCCTGAAGAAAACAAGCCTGATGAAGGGCCGCACAGTTGAAGCTGGATAAGAAGGGGCTGCCGGGTTGGACGAAGGGAGATAGCTTTGATCTGGAAGCCACAGGAGACTGAAATGTTTGCGAGAGGCATGGACAGACGGATGGACGGAGGAGAGGGGCCGCGCAGGCTGCTTGAATGAGATCCTCGCGGAGGGCTGCCTCAGATGACAGGCTGGCGGAGAGAACGGGGTGGGGGGGCTGGTTTGGAGTGGACAAGGTCCAGGGGTTGCCGTCACCAAGCTGTTGAGGGCCAGGTGGGGGATGGGTCCTCCAGTGGACATGAGATGGGAAGAGCAGACAGTCTGCCCGCTGTGTCCCCCTGAGGGAGGCAGAGAGCTGGGGCAGGTGGCAGACAGTTCCAAAGGGGAAGGACCAGGGCAACTGAGCCCAGTGGCTGAGCCTCGGAGGCAGCGGGTTATTTAAACTAGACAGTGGGGGTTGAGGAGGGCAGTCTGGAGACAGCCATCTGGAGCCAGGGAAGCACCCTCACCTCTAAGAAAATAAACGGCTCTCACTTCAGAAGCCTGCAGAGGAGGTCGCGCCCTCGCCCTCGAGGGAGACTTAAATTTCAGTTGAGGCGGGAGGTGGAGGGAGGCTCCGAGGAGGCTTCAGGATGTGAGGAGATTTGCCTTTTACTAGAGGGCGTGGGGGTGGCTTAGGGAGGGGCCCGCGGAGGGCTGGTCACCGCCAGGCCAGCGAGCTCGGAGTGGAGACGAGGCCAGGAGTGGGGACTGCGCTGCCTTTCTACCCTCGAGGGAGACTTAAATTTCAGTTGAGGCGGGAGGTGGAGGGAGGCTCCGAGGAGGCTTCAGGATGTGAGGAGATTTGCCTTTTACTAGAGGGCGTGGGGGTGGCTTAGGGAGGGGCCCGCGGAGGGCTGGTCACCGCCAGGCCAGCGAGCTCGGAGTGGAGACGAGGCCAGGAGTGGGGACTGCGCTGCCTTTCCACCGCTGAGTGCTGCAGTCAGTCTCCTGGAAGCTGTAAAAAGTGGCGGTTAACCGTGTGGCCTCCAGAGCAGTCCTGCCTGCCTTCATATGCAAGCCCTGCCGCCTGCCAGCCGCCTGTGACCTTGGGCAAGGCCTGTGGGTCTCGCTGTTCTCCTCTGTAAGAGAGATAATAATAGTACCTACCTCACAGGGTTGCTCTGATGATTCAGTGACTCCGTGTGTTAATGTTTAAAACAGAATCTGGGCAGTCACTCAGATATGCTCCTCGGTGGTGGCTCCCAGGCCCCGGGAGCAGCCTCTTTGCTTGCCTGGCCCCTGGCCCTGTGCCAGGTAGGAAACAAAGTGGCAACCACTTGAATGGAAAAGAGGAGTTTGATGAGTAGTTGCAAATGCAAGAATTACATGGAAACACCAAGGATAGCAAAGAAGATCCCCGTGGAAAATGGGTACTTCCAGGCAGCAGGCAGCTGACACCCCTGTATGTGGGATCTGGAGAAGGCGTGGTTCCCCAACATGGAAGGTTTCGATGCTACACATCAGACCACATATGGCTTCGCTAATACTGGCATGTCTAGCTCTACAGCAAACGTGCACGACGTCAATGCTGGGCGTGCAGAGAACAACCCAAACCCACCACCCCGAAAAGGGGGGAGATAAAATAAAGGTGCAATCGAGATGGCTTCATGCTGGGAAAGATAGGAATGCAGATGTGTCATACTTCTGATTCGCCTCCAGACATTTCAGTGGACAATTTATACACCTTTTATTCAAACTTTGCGTTATCTTGAGAGATCCTCAGAGGAATTTAAGCCAAGCTTTACAAAGAAATCTTAAAGGAGGCGGGCTTTGTTGTTATTTGAAGAGGGAGTCTGTGGATCTTGCACTATGTTTTTATTTATTATTTATTTTTTATTCTTTTTCTTTCTTTATTAATTTTGTATTGCACTAACATCTTTATTATTTATTTGCTTATTTATATGCACTAACATTTTTAGATTAAAATGAAATTAGAAGCCACAAATTACATGTCAAGGCGGCAAAGTTTGAACGGAAGGAGAAATACATGCCTCCAAAAGGAAGTGCGGGACTCTTTCCCCCGCCCCACGTGGGAGTCTGTGCTGTGAGGGTCTTCCCCTTCCCCGCGTGGGAATCTGTACTTGTTCTTCATTAAATTCCCACCTTCGCTATTAAAAAAAAGTGCAAACACTACAAGAAGTTGTCTGCACCAAATGCAGTTGGACCTTGGACCGGAGGCCCGAGAGGAGAGCTGGGCCACCGGGACGCACCCGAGTGAGTGGTCACGAGCAAAACTAGGCTCCGTCATGTGGGTGCGTCCGCGGAGCCACTGGTGCTGAGCCGAAAAAGGTGGGGGGGGCGCCTCTGGGTGGAGTGTCCCACGTTTGACACACCGGCAGCTCCTTCTCTGAGAGCTCGCAGCTGGTGTGGCTCCGTCCTTGAGGAATGCAGAGGGAGCTGAGTTTTGTATTCAGATCCTCCACTAAGGTGGTTGGGTGGCCATCAAATCACTGGTCAAGCAGGGATGGGATTACGGCCATCAGGTTGGGGAGCGCTGGGGGGGCGGGGGGGCGGGCAGGAAAAGCTGGGAGGGTAAGCGGCTTCCGGCACCGAAAGCCGCCTGTGCCTCCGAAAGAGCAGGACTCACTGCCCTTCCATCTGGAGCAGCTGGAAGCCGGGGTCTTCCCAGCCCTCCTTCAGACCACTCTCCCCACATCACAGACACTCCCCCAGGCCGAGTCCAGAAGACATCGCCGGATTCATTTGCACTAACTCAGGCAGGGAAGTGGAGTGTGGGTTGGGAAGGGCTCATTTGTTGACACGTAACAGCCTCACATCCTGTCGCTGGGAACGTGGGGCCCTTGCAGTCACTGCCCTAGTTGGTCACTACATATCCTCTCCCAGTTATTCAGTCAGTTAGTCTGGGTGCTGCCAGGAAGGGATGTCGCAGATGCAATTGAAGCCTCAAATCAGTTTATCTTGAGTCAATCAAAAGGGAAGCTTTGTGGGTGGGTCCGACTCGATCCCATCCAAGCTTTTAATAGTGGCTGGAAGCGAGAAAGCATAGCTCCACACGCTGGGACTGCCTGACTCACCTCAGTCCTGCAGCTCAGCCAGCTGTCAGCTCCCTGCAGGCCCTGGGTTGGGCCTGGTGGCTGCAGACCACACCCAGGAATAAAAATGGAGACAGCAACACTTCCAGGGAAAACGATTGGAAGTCTCCCGAAAGCAGAGGATAAAGCAGCGGGACCAGAGGAAACTTGAGGCCAGCTAATTAATCGTGGAGAGACCCAGAAACCCAGCGTTTTCTTGAAGAAGGGGGTACAGCTGGAGATGAGGAACTGGAAGCACAGCTGTCAAAAGCAAAGCCGATGCCCAGGGCCCACGCCCCAGGGCGTGAGGAAGAGCTGGCGATCATGCCCGCAGATGCTGTTGGTGGGACTTCTCAGGACTAGGAATGAGGCCAACCAGAGGTCAAGGAGCAAGCCCTGGCCCTGTCCTTACAGGGAAGCCCCACACGGGATCCTGGGATATAAGTGGGAGGACACTGTCTCCCAGGCTTCCCTGTGCAGACTGGGGGACTGCACCTCCCACTAGCTCTAGGCCTGGCCCATCCGTGTTCCCATCAAGGACCTGCTGTCCCTCCTCTCCTACATGTGTCTATACTGAGGATCCGAGGGAAGGCGGGTGGAGCCCTGGACCCTGAGCGCTCCATCATCTCCATAGCTGTGTCCTGGGCTTCTCCCACCAGAGCCCTCCCCCTCCTCCCCCGAGTGGTGCTGACCTCCTCTGACTCTGATCCAGATCTTGAACTTAAAGGTACGTTGAACCCTGATCCCAATTCCATTTGGGAGACAACAGGATATCGCAGTTCCATCATGACTCCTTCCCTTCCCCAAACCCAAGGTAATATACAGCCAGAAACATACGTTAAAATATACAAAACAATTTGACAAAATTCAATGAAAATAATTTAACAATCCACACTCATAGTGGAAGATTTTTACATACCTTTTTCAACAACCGGTAGAAAAAACACATACACACTAAGGTCACAGAACATCTGAGGAACAGTTAACAGCATAGAAAAAACACATACACACAAGGGAAGACCACTAAGGTCACAGAACATCTGAGGAACAGTTAACAGCGTGGCCTATAGCAAAAGCAGAGCATTTCCCCCAACAGCACAAGAAGCCACGTATTTTGTATATCAAACTTTATTTACCCAGATTACCCATGCCATGTCATAGAGCAAGCTTCAAAACATCTCAAAGTCTTCAAACCATTCAGTGTATGTCCTTGGAAAGGTATAAATCAGTGATGGCAAACCTTTTGAGCTCGGCGTGTCAGCATTTTGAAAAACCCTAACTTAACTCTGGTGCCGTGTCACATATAGAAATTTTTTGATATTTGCAACCATAGTAAAACAAAGATTTATATTTTTGATATTTATTTTATATATTTAAATGCCATTTAACAAAGAAAAATCAACCAAAAAAATGAGTTCGCGTGTCACAGGTTCGCCATCACTGGTATAAATCAATAATAAAACTATAAGAAAGTATTAAACTGCTTAGATATCAAAAAATATATTTCTAAATATTCCTTGGATAAAGGAAAATACAGTAGAAATTAGAAAATTCTTTGAACTGAATACAGTAATGATAGAGATAAAACATATAAAAACTTGTTAGATATAACTAACCAGTGTTCAGAGGGAAATTTATATAATGAAATCCTTATGTTAGAAAAGAAAACAGGGCTAAAACCCAGTGATTTGAGAGTCATCTTGAGACACTAGAAAAAAGTTAGCACATGAAACTCATACACAGAGAATAGGAGAGAGAAAAAAGAGGTGACACCAATAAAATAGAAAAAGAAATGTTCAGCGAAGAAATTCAGCTAAGTGACAAAAGGCAGTTCCTGGAATGGAGAAAGCAGCCAATACTGGCGGTTACATTGTTGACTCCAGCAGGGTGGGCACAGGGCTCACAGAGGGCGCGCTCACTCACCCGGGAGCAGGCCCCGCCCTGAGGGCCGGGAGCTGGCTGGCGTGGGGGAGTTGAGGAAGGGAAGGGAAGTCTCTAGGCTTCGTGTGTGTCATGTGTGAACTGGACATGGCTAACTCCCGTGTGCAGTGGCATAACAAGCTGGGTGGGGGTCGGGGGAGGAATACTGTGTTTAACATTATTGTAGAATTGCTGGTACATGGCAACAATAAAAAGTCGGGTTTAGTATTAATATAAAATTCCCTACAGACAACACACTCTCTTATTGCCTGTCTCAGGCCCCCCCCCACCCCACCCCCCACCCCGCACAAGCTGCAGTCTCGGGCGGGGCATGAGAGCACAACCCCACTCCTCTCCCAGCTGGGAGCCCTAGGGGAGCCCATGGCAAATGAGGATTGTTTTGAACCTGGTGGCATAGTTTTGTGCAGCAATGTTCTGTACAAGACAGGTGTTTCCTAAATATGTGATGAACGAATGAATAATTGAGTAATAATGGAGGCAAGAAAAAACAGGCAGAAATTACATAAGCAGGCATTTAGTTCAAGCATTAAGAAAAACTTCCCTTTATGGATAATAAAGACCATTATAAACTGATGAACAAAAATAGATACAGAGGCAGAGCTGCCTGGAACAGACTGTCAAACTACAGCGGGAAGGCCAGGGAAGGTTGGGGGGCAGGAGGGTGGGGGTAAGAGATCAACCGAAGGACTTGTATACATGCATATAAGCATAACCAATGGACATAAGACACTGGGGGGTAGGAGAAGCCAGGGGATTGTCTAGGGCGGGGGGGAAAAAAAGGAGACATATGTAATACTCTTTGTAATACTTTAAGCAATAAAACAAAATTTGGAAAAAGAAAAAAAAAGAAAAACTTCCCAATTACCATGGTTGTAAAACAATGCAAAACAGGGAACGACTGCCCTGGCCGATTTTCTAAGTGGTTAGAGCATCCACCAGTAGATCAAAGGGTCGCAGGTTCGATTCCCGATCAGGTCGCATTCTTCAGGAGGCAACGAACGTGTCTCTCTCACAACAATGTTTCTCTCTCTCTCTCCCCTTCCTCCCCACTTCCACTCTCTCCCTAAGATCAATGGAAAAAAATATCCTTGGGTGAGGATTAAAAACAACAAACAGGAAACTACCATTTCACCAGAGATCTAGGGGCTCCTAACCTTTTACACGTTGGACCCCTTTGGCAGTCTGGTGAGACTCAGAATAAGTTTTCAACTGCATGAAATAAAATACACAGGATTACAAAAGAAAAATTATATTGAAGTGCGGTTATCCAAATAAAAAACCAACGTGTGATGACAAGATCTAGTGGTGGTTCCAACCATAACCATAACTACAAAGCAATGATGAGCACATATGGCCTCTTTTCTGCAAGTGACAGGTGTGATTGCTATTGGTGAGTCGCAGGTACTGCTAATACTACTGTGCTTTGTTGCTTACGTTTATCATGGGAGGAAATGCTGAATTTCGGTTTGAGGTTAGTGAAAAGAAAATGTACCTTCCCCACCCGCATGCCAGATCCTTTGGGTCCCGGGGAGCCAGGTGGAGAACGTTGCTTCCTGCCCATGAGCCTCTGGCCCTTCGTCCCTGCTGTCTACATCTTGGAAGTGTCCTGGCTTCTGTCCTTTCCCGAAGCTTGTCCGTTCTGGAGTCGTGCAGAACGGGTGAATGTGGCACAGAAGGTCCACGCCACTGAGTGGCTGTGGGGTGTAGGGCTCACTGCTACCTAGGAAACGGAAGAACGGCTCCTTACCGGGCAAGTGTGTGAATCCGGTCAGATGGAATACCTGCTCTGGAGGTCAGAGGCCACAGAACACAGAGGAGGGGGGTCAATAAATGTCTCGGTTTAATGAATACTGTGTCTGAGAACACTCTGTAAACTCTCAAATGCAACATGAATTGCTGCATCCATCATTCCCAGATGAGAGCTGATCTCTCTTCTTCCCCTCAAAGTTTTGTCTTGGTCTTGCTTTCTCCTTCTTTCCTCCACTCTTTGTCCTAAATCTGTGTTGCAATCCAGCCATCTGCCTGCTTCTCCTACTGCCTGCTTTCCTGGAATCAGAAAAGACACCCTGTGAGTGGAGGGCGGGTGGGTCCGAGGATAGGCCGGGAGAAGGATGTCCCTGGAGCGCACATCCACATTCAATAGCCACGGGATCGAGGCTGAGCCGGGCACCCTCCTATTGGGCAGAAACGGAGCTGTTGAACCCCGAGCAAATGTTCCCCAGAGCGCCCAGTTAAAATAACTCAGGGCGCAGTCTTGGTCAAAGGACCGAGATCCCTGACAGTGGGGTTGCTGTTACACCCATCAGGACACCCCAAGTCCTTCCTCTAGGCCACTAGGCGGGAGCAGGGACCTTGCAGCAGACACCGTTCCAAGTTTAGCGCGGGAAGGAGGACCCTGACGCTGCCCTGTCTGAGGCCAGTGGTCTGTCTGAGCAACAGGAAAGACGTGGGCGAGAAAGCGAGGGGCAGTGATGTTCGCCAGAAGTCACGGGCTTCAGCCTGGGGATCCCAGGGTCCCGTCTCCCGTGGGACTGGGGTTTTCCGATGCAGGAGGAGTCCCCGGTGCTTCCGAAGGGGCCTCGGTGCTGCGGGAAGAGTCCTCGGTGCTTCCGAAGGGGCCTCGGGAGGAGCCTCGCAGCCTCGCCGAGAACGGCGAGCCGAGAGCGCCGCCCCCTGGTCGGTGCTGCCCCCTGGACGTCGGCAGGTGTCGCGGCTCCCCTTCACCAGAGGCTTTCCGGACGGGGTTCGCCCGGACCCCCGGGGGCTGCGGTGTCCCCCAAACTCTGCAGCAGCGTAACGTGAACGCCCCCTGGTTGCAGAACCACAGCCCCTCGGGGAAGCTACAGAACACCTCGCCTGTCAGTCAAGTCGGAGCATTTGGGTTCGGGGAAGGTCGGGAACTGCGGAAGCCCAGGTGCCGCCCGCACCGGCCTGGCCTCCTCGTTGACTTCCGGCGAGGCCGCCGTTCCCCCGCAGGGCTCCGGAGACCCTTCCTCTGGGACCCCGCTCCTGGCCAAAGCGGCCGGTGCCCTCCCCCGTCCAAGCCCCGACCCTGGGCCCTCTGTGCTCCTCGCGCTGAGGCTGGAGTCAGGGCAAATGTGAGGCCACCCGGACCCCCCAAGGCGGAAACCTCGAGGTGGGGGGGTGTTGAGGGGCGAGGAACGAGAGGGGGGAGGTGGGGGGAGCGAGACTG